GATGGAATCCCAAAGGACAAGGTGTCAGAACTTGTTCGCAAAGGAAGGAGGAGAGAAGAGAAGTCCTACAAGAGAGACAAGGACCTGAAAAGCCCCCCTTAAAGACGGAGGGGATGAGTGCACTCTATATGATTGAGGCAGACACATTATCAGGCGGGAAAAGTTTTCTCTCGTCTCGTGCCAGGCGCAGCGGTAGGGAAAAAAGACGGTGGCACAACTTTCGGGGCGGGGGGGGGCGGGGCGGGGGAGTCTAAGTTCGGTCAGGAGAAATCTGCGGCTGGCCGAGGGGAACTTCCTAATTGAAAGGAGCATCTGTATGCGGGCCATGTACCCTTTTCATTAGATCACACTCCTCGAATGAAAGCCCACGTGAGAACCCAACAGGGTTCTGGGATCTGTCATTAACTAGTGGTTTTAACGTGCACTCAAAAGGGAGTGCGTTGATGGAAACGGTGGTGACGTCGAACAGAACTATTACCGAACCAGGTCAAGATATTGCAGCAGACTTGAATTGAGATGTGGGAAGTAAAACAATTGAACGGGACTGCTACCTGACATATAAGGATATAAGTTCCCACATTTCAGTGCAGGGAGGAAGCATATCTATAATAAATACTTAAGTAAAGCCTGTAAGTATTGAAGTGGTACAAACGTATTCAATTACATTTGAACTTTAGTAGTACTTCCCAACTCTGTTCAGAAAAGCAGGATTAAAATGTATTTTATCATTCAGTTATCTGTTCTCCAAATTCATGAATCATTTTTTAATGATTCATGAAACTGATATTTAGGTATAGATAAAATTGAAAAAAATTAAGAGTCAATACAATACAATAGTATAATAGATGTCAATTACAATAGTAAATGTAATTTAATTAATATACAACCCAGGCTTAAGTATCAACTCAATCAATGTGAGAACTCAACAAAAACCACATGGACTGCATGGTCTACAATTTATTTGCGAGTATCAACAAGAAAAAGGGAAGAATGGCTATCACAAAAATGGCATCTCTTTACAAATGAATGCCTTTCAGAGAACCAAGGAAATCCACATGCATCCACACAGAGGAGGAGAATTCATCTGACGGACTTTCCAACTAAGCGATCACCACAATGACACGGTCAGGTAGCAAAATGTTCAGCAAAATCATGCTGTCTCTTGGGTCAAGATCATTCCTGATTCTCATTCTGCTCTTCCACTTTTTCTTCCTCTCCGTAATCCTCCTCCATCTCGTTGATGTCTGGATAATCCACACGCCGTTGAGTCTGTATCTGTCCGAAGTCAATCAACATTGCCAGATGCACATTTCTTTTATAATTCATACAATCTCTGAAGGAAAAACTGACTCTGAGGATGCCAGAGAAGAAGGCATAGGCAAGCATGGCGGAGCCTGCAACCAGGGCTGCTCCGATGTTTCTCTTGAGTTTTTCCCGGAATGGCTCATCCTCATCTACAATCCCTGAGTGGGGATTTGATTTCTCTTTTTCTGTAGTTCTCCTCTCTACATGTGAGGATGAAGTATATATATCATTTTTGATGATTAATAGAATAAAGAATTCAGAAAATGTGCATATTAAACATTTGTTTTGATGGAAGAGAGACAAAGACTAACATTACTTTGTCAAACACACAATGTTTCATCATGACAAACACTAGCTTTTGGCCTATTTCAAGTTTGAGAAATAGCTTTGCCTAGCTGGACTACGGTACACATGTGCTCATCTCATCACTCAGAGGGAATTAAACCAAGAAAAATGTCAATCAATCTGTCAAAATGAATTCTACCATGAGGAAGTGTACCTGCACTTCAGTGTTTCCGTTTCCTTTCATAGCGATGTGGCAAAGGGATAATGTCATGCAATGCACCACACACTTAACACATTCAAACCTGGGATCTGAGATTTCTGATGTGATGTAGCTTTCATGGTAACCCAGAATCGGAAGTCTCTGATATGAAATGTGTCATCATTAAACTATTCTAAACTGGATTTCTGAACATTTTGTTACATGTAACATTAACTTTCAGTAGGTAGCTAATTAATAAATAATTTATTTGTAAAACTTTTGATTTTCAACGAAAAGGTCAGGCTGTAGTAAGACTTATACCAGGACCAAAAGTGTTAAAATGGATGGATGTGAAAGTGAATGGATGGATGTGTACTACTCAACACTTTATTGCTATTTTTGTGAAGAATATATATATTTTTTTCACATATCTAGACTGGCGCTTCCCAACCTTTTCCACACATGACACCAAAAATCATGATCATACCATTTGGGACCCCAAGCACTGGCCAAGGTTTGACATGTTGACCCTCCTATGCCCAAAAATAGCAAAGAAATACATAACTTGGCATTTAGCTACCAATTAGCAACCCCAAATATGATCTTGGTGACCCCAAATGGGGTTGTGACCCCAGGGTTGGGAAGCCCCAATCTAGACTGTAGTTAGTCATGATTCCATCAGTTTCCATCTAAGATATAAATGAAATTTCCATTGGAGTCTGTGCAATCATTCTTACATGACACTTATTGCCCCCTAGTCTCTGCAGTCAATCGCACAAAAATCACTTTTCCATGAAGGTGAGCTTCAAATTGATGTGTTCGAGAGGGTTCAACTATTCTTCAAATATTTACCTCTTGATGCCAATACATACAAGTTTTAGGGTTCCCTATATAATATATACAGGTGCTGGCTATTGTCATTAGCTAATTTATTGATGAAATCTCAAACACCAAATCTCATACTTCATGCATACATTTCTCTTGTTCATGCTATCCCTGTTGTTAGGTACTGTGGTCAAGTATTATCCACCATTCCATCTCTTTAGTGGAAGCATTCATAGGGAGGGAGGGGGGGGGGGGGGGGGGGGGGGGGGGGGGGGGGAAGAAGGAAAAGAGGAGGGAAATATCTCTCTGTGGTTGAGAGAAACTCTTCCTATAGGTGATGCACCTGCCCAAAGTGTTTGATGTGACATTTGACATATTTAATAATATTAAAAATTATGAATGAAAAATAAAGGCTGCAACACATAGCCTCATGCAGGGGCTGAAAATTTGATTATCCTAAGCCTGCCATATTATTATTTGCCAAAGGTGTATCTTTGCATGAAGGTATTGGACATGACTTTTCATGATACCCAAGGTTAAAGTCACTTGCCCTAGCGGACAGGTTTTTGTGACACATGGAACCCATTAATTTAGTATTACATTCATTCAATAGTTGAAAGAAAGCAAAGCCATTTTGAGGCTGCATTGGATTTGACATGTTCTGAAAGTTAATTTGAAAACAGAAAGCCAACTTATTATTTCAACATTCAGCTTAGAATGTCATACAATTAAAAAACATTGACATCTTTTCTTCACACCTGAGCATATCTTAGGTCATCACTCAGCATGGGAGAACCCATGCTGGCCACAGATTTGCATTTTAATCTTGTCCATGAGTATCATGAGTGGAATAAATTATTTAAAAAAAGACAATTTCTTTCATTCTTGAAAATACAGGGTGGCCAAAAAAAGTAACCAAAATAACTAGGAGGACACTACTTAGTTGATTCAAGGTTTTAAACTAATCCATGTTTTACCTATATATCTTATAAAGTGGACTATCACTTTTAATCTTTCTAAGCCATTAAGTCAACAGGTTCATCAATGGATGACACATTGAGCATGTCCAGCATCCTGCTGAAAACAAAGCTCCATCCATTCGACATCATCAACCATAATACTACAAATGTTCAACAACAATTCCTTAATTTTCATTCATACAGACGAGGTGTGCCAGAATGTCCTGCCCCAAGGTCTTCTTTGTGGAGAACTATTATCAAACACATTGTAGAATCCATGTACTACAGCTGTTATAACTGGTTCACAGATGTTGCCTTCACCATAACTCCTAAAATTATGCTCAGAGAGCTAAATTCTTTCTCTGTTAGCTGAACAGTATTTTTTAAATTATAAATTACCTGTAACAAACCAAATAAATGTAATTTTTATTTCAGTCACCTTTTTTTTGGCCACTCTATATTATTCTCATTTGTTCATGTCTTCCAGGACTAGAGATTTTGAACTTTTGTAAAGAATGTGCTCTCTGCAAATTTACTGAAATTTCATGTTATGGCTTTCCAGATCACTTGGTGTAGACAAATGCTGATGAAACTTAAGATCCAGATTGCAACCTGGGGAACAAAAAGGAGGGACTCATTACTGCTTCCTGAACCCAGATGACTTCAGATGAATATTTTCTGCAAAAAACATAGTTTAGTATATATGAAACACCATTTTCTGATTGCTATAAATTTTCCATTAAATTTATTTTTAAAATAGTTAGTGAGACTAACATAACTATCAAATGATTTAACAGTACTGGTAGTTTTCATGCTAGTTAGCTACCTTCAGGAGTAGGAGGGAAATATCGAAGTAGGATCCTTTCGATGAATGCAACCAGGTTGGGGCACCCTTTGAGATGATTCTGAAGAGGTGAATTGGGGAAGGGGAATTTGAGCAAGGGGGCCAGGTGAGCAAAAACCACTGCATCCAGGAAACATGGGGATTGGCCAAAGAAATACTCCTTGTCTCCCAGTCGATTTGAAAGCAGTGTTAGACATTCCACTGCATTCTTGTGAACCTATGTGAGAGGGTTGGTAGTTGTATTACATTTTATTATTGGTTTCACTTCAACTCCAGATTGAAAAAACTCTTGCTTGCTCACAGCAGTTTCAATTGTTGACATGAAGCCGTCCTCCATCATACTCTCCTGGGCTGTGTGATCCAGTCCATATGCAGAAAAGAGCCTTCTTCTAGCTTCTCTTTGAAATGCTCCAGGGTAGTAATAATTGAAGGGTATGGGTAAGATCTTGGCAAAGTTTGGTCTCGTGAACTCAATGTAGTTATTTTCATCTAACCACCTTCAAAGATGAAAACAATATATTCACTCTTAAAAGAAGGCCTTTCTCAGAATGACTCTAAAGGATGATAACTTACTGGTTATGCAAGATTCCTGGTAGCAACTTGGAATGCACTAGAGATGCATATGCCACTACATCAGCAGATTCTTTTGGTGATAATTCATAATCTGCATTATGATTCTGCATGACAGCAAATTTCATGAAAGTAAGATAGAAGGGACAACAGAAGAATGCCAATCCATGAAATACTGACCTCTTTTCTGAAATGTAAAACAATGTCAGCAGGATTCTCCAGAATTGTGCTGCCATGAGAGAACACAGGAAGTCTGCCAGTTCGAGTGAAGAATGGGTTTCGTAACTTGACTACTTTGAGGGGGGCACCAGAAAACTTTGCATAGGCCTGTTGTGACAGAAAGACCAGGGTTTGTTCTGGTTGGGGCTTCCAGTCTATACATTGCCCAATATATACAAAGCAGAATCCAACCCTACCATGACTTCAAGAGAGGTAGTATCGATGGATGGAAGGCCCCATCGACCTTCCCACACCTCCAACGTCATCGGCTGAGTGCGAGGCATTTGTTCGTGATGAAAGAAGTGCAGACTTCACGACCAAGAATCACGGATGGGGATGAAAAAGAAGTTGAACCGGGACCACATGGACGATGCATGCGACCATGCTTCCTCGGCTCTCCTTTTCTTGTTCGCCTCCTCTGATTGGCAGAGATGAAATAGAGGTGTGTGAAGTGAGCACCGAACTGCCCGTTGCATGCACGGATGCCGAGGTATCCGGTATTCCCGAATGAAAGAGAAAGTAACCGACATCACCTCTACAATGTCTACGCACTGGGTACACCTCGGTTCACGTGGATCGTTTTAGAATCCTGTAAAAGGCAGGGTTTGACCATGGACTGGACACAGAAGCTCACATTGTCCTAGGCTTAGGCCCTATTTGGCCCCTTCTAACCCTATCTGACTCTTTAAGCTAAGTACTTTCGCTATCACAGTTCAACGCGAACCTTGACATTGTATCACAAGGTTAAGCCTAGCCTCGTCTAAGCGCTGTGCCTAAGCGTTGGCACCAGGCAGGTTTATATAGCGCGTATACCTCGTAGCTCGCGTGATGGATCCAATAGATTTACTTCGCCTCGTCGATCAATCAATTGCTACTTCCTGCCGTCCAACAAAACAAAGACGACTAACTTTAGAACAAAACAAAATTGTATCTGAAAAGCACAATAGAGAATGAGATGAAAGACACCAGGGAGAGGGGAAGAAGAGAAACGTGACGCCAGAGATAGCCTTTCTTGTGGATAAGTGATTCATCAAGAGTCAGAGCAGGCTTGCTCTGGGATACTGAAGTTGGAAGGCTGCCAATCTTTCTAGAGGAGCTAATTCACATTGAAATTTCCAGGTGGCTTGTGCTTTCATGGCAGCATTCATCATGCTTCTGCCAAGTCTTCACTAAAGCTTATAATAAGAAGTGCAGTACTTCATGTATGGAATCAATCAAGGTCTCCATCTTTCCATTTTTGGAAGTGAATAGAGTATCTCATTATTTAGAGTCACAGAAAGAGAATGGGAGTTGGAGGTCAAGTCATGCAAGACTGCAGAATCATTGCTGTTGCTGTTTTATGAGCAATTGACCACTTCTAGCATGCAACTGGTCTTTGCATTCAAGGAGTGATCTTTCTCTCTTACTGGCCACGTAAATTTAACTTTAGCAAGTTATTCACCCAGAAAAAAATTTTTTCTTTTGGACTAAAACTCACAGTATTCCATAGTAACCCATGAATGCTTGCTTAAAATATGAGAGAAATATATTCAAACAGTGCAGCCATGGCAAATGCCATTTCATTGTTACACTGTCCAGCATCTTGGTTTCCTTTTTTCTCAGTCCATTCTTGTATTTATGCAAGACAAAAGATTTAATAAAATCTGGAATTACAAATCTGAAAACCTTCTTTTTACAGCCTATTATTTTTCATTTGATGGTATGAAGGACTCACTTCAATCAGAGGGTAAAAGAAAAAATTAAAAACCAGAGGTAAGAGTATGTACAATCTTAAGAACACTGACTATTCTTGAGTTAATCAATGGTCTTGATAGTTCATTCCAGTTCTTGCTTCATCCCCACCCAATCCATGCATAGCCCTGTTCCTCAGTTTGCCCTCTGAGAAAGAAGAATCTAGCTTCTTTTGAAGCACATTCCCAATCCCATTCCCATTTGACTAAATTCACTCACCAGAAGGCAAGTGAGAGCTCAGCCAAGTCAGGACTTGAATCTGCAACCTGGACAGTATCAGCCCAAACGATCTCTACTAAGTTATAATGGTAGACAGGCTGCATCACCATTGGCCAATATACCAACAACTTTAACCTAGCAATATTATATAGACTTAACCTAGTTAATGTCTTTGGGCTAAGCTAGTCCACCTTTAAAATATCCATATTACTTGGAGTTGGGGGGGGGGGTCTCTATGCCAATTTCATTTTTCCCTCAATGGTCAGTGAGAGTAGATAGTACAATAGCTAACAACTTTGATCACAATGCTGACTGCAATTGGATTGATCCCCACTCCCCTGTAAATTGTTATAGCAGGACTTCAGTACAAGGTAGTTCAAATAAATTTGTGCCCTTAGGAAGCTCAGTAATTTAGGTTTTTAATCTAAAAACTGCTCTTGAGAGACCCCTAGATCAATCTGGGCAGGCCAAAATTTGAGCAGGAAGTAGGACAAGACAGCATGGCCAATAGACATTGTTATTCTGGGAGCTCAGGCTTGTCTGTTTTACTAGCTGAAATTTTGGCTGGGTATGTCTTAGTCTTTCTTCTCATGAGTCTTGAAAAAATGTTTCTCTTTGAAACAGAATCAAGTGCTAGTTACTGTAATGGAATAACTAACTTACTTGCAACATTTGTAGCCTTCTTATATTTGTGCCTGGTGTTTCTACATTTTTACCCAATCTGTTGTGCATTCTACATGCACAGAACTCAGTTGAAGTGAGCAGTTAACCCTTACCCAATTGCTTAGGACAAATGCTGATGTCAGGTGCCAAAGTTATGATATATCTATGCAAGTTCTCATGGTGCCTTATCAAGACATTCCTAATATTTGGCTAGCATAGTTGGGTCCATATGAGCTAGACTATATAGGTCTGAGTTTACATGATATGCTGTCTGTGATAAGCCTGATGTTAAACTCTAGTCAGACTTATGTCTAGGATTGGAACAAGACTTAGACCTATGTTAAGTGATGACTCAGGAGTGGGGCTAGGACCAATCCTGGGCTTATGATATCCCTGAATTACTAATGTAAGCTTAGGCTGAATGTTGACAACAGTTGTTTCAATTCATTGGCTTCCTCCTAAAATGTTGATTCACTTTTCCCGAGGCAGTGTACATTGAAACTACATCTGGTAGTATTTACAATTAATCATGACTCGATGGGCAAGATCTTTGACTTCCAAGGCTTCCAACAAGAAGACTCCTGAGGAAGCCACTCCATGGCATGTTATGGTTGCCTCCATGAAGGCAACTCAGAGTCGAGAACAAAATCCTGAAGCTGATGATTTTTCTCATGAGAATGAAACAGAAGAAGAGAAAGAGGAAGATGAGGAAGTAGATCCATCCTACAGTGAGGAAGTAGATGAGTCCATGAAATCCTCTTCAATCCCATGTGACTCAACTGCATTCAAGGAGGAAGGTGATATTGAAAAGGAAGAGGAACAAGACACAGAAGCAGGAAACCATGAAATGCCAGAATATGAGAAGGCCTCTGGATCCCACAAAGCCCAAGAAAGGAAAAGAAAACATCAGTTTGTGACAGAACCGATGCCAGGGAGGGCTAAAATTTTCTTTGAGGGTTCCTGGGTCACACCAGAGGTGAAAGCAGATTTGCTGAAAATGAGAAAGAAACTCCTGGCTGATGGAATCCCAAAGGACAAGGTGTCAGAACTTGTTCGCAAAGGAAGGAGGAGAGAAGAGAAGTCCTACAAGAGAGACAAGAAAAAGGTCAGTTTGCACTGAGGACCTAGGCCTGTAAGATGTTGACATGGAGTAGTGTACCTGACAGTGATCCTTCAGTTCTGATTTATTACCTTCTTCCCTCCTCATTGACCATTAGACCCATCAGCACAACTCGGCCTAAATGGTTATGGATTATTCAAATATAAGTGCCACATATATGGAGAAGTTTGTCGCAATCAGTTAATCAATCAAAATGGCCCTGTCTATTCCAAAATAAATTTAAAAGTTCATTTTTTTTAATGGGAGGAATCAATATTATTTTGCCACTTACATGCCATTGGAAAGTGTAGAATCTATAGTTTGCTGATATTTTTTTAAGAACTTAGGGGGTTTTAGCATCTCTGAATTTTTAAGAAAGTAAACTTTTGACAATTTTTACTTCATTGATAGTGGATCTGAGAGTTCTTTATTCCCATTGAGTAGTTTGCTCACTCAGGCTACAGTGAATGTGCAATAAATAATTAATGCAATATAAAACTATGGGCCAGTGTCCACACATCATGCTCTGATCATTAGGATATAAACAAAGCCTAAAATTCCAAAGCAAAACTGGAGTATTTAATTTAATTGCCAAGAACTGGGTAGCCACAGGAATGGAAGCTATGACTCCAGTTGATAATTACCAGAGTCATGATTGAATCTATCAGCTCTGAAATATGCTTCATTCTTGAAATGAGTTCTGTTTTGTCTGCATATGTTTTCAATTTTATCAGGTTTCTTTTTTTTCAAATTTATTTTCACTATTTTATAGATAGGAACAAAGTAACAACCTTTGGAATGAGCTCAAATCATTCCAAACTGAGCAGAAAAGTTGTAACACCTTTGCAGGCAGGTTTTTGAACATGTAACAAGATGCTCATGAAAATTCTTTGGGGTGCCATTAAAGGGATTAAACTGTCATGCAGACATACTGGCTGACCAGTGAAGTCTTTTGCTGCATAAAGAGAAGAATGATGTCAAATATTTACAGAGAAATTGGCTGAGCAAATAGAAGCATTCTTACTTTTTGTTTCCTTAGGATCATCTTTCTGTTAGCATCCCATACTCTGTATTGCTGACCATAGCCTTCATCTTCGGTGGTTATCATGAACTTTGGATAATGAAATATGATCTCAAGTGGAAGCTATGGGACAGACACTTTAAAAAAATGAATAGGTCTAAAAAGAAGAGATTTACATAATTGTAATATATCATAGTTTTTCCAACTCTTGAAATGAGGAATGACTTACTTACCTGACCACTGAAATGCCTGTAGATTATGAGCTAAGGCTTCATAGTCTCTATCATGAATTAAAAGTTAGCTCCCAGAAAAATACTTCAATCTCTGATATTTTGACTGTACTTATACATGTTTGGGGTCTTCTTAGTTTTCAAGTTCCAGGTTTTCAAAGTCATTTTCCTCCTTTATTTAATTTTTCGATATACATAGGCCTACCCAGAAACATGGGACTTACAGAAAAAACTTGAGAAATTGAGAATCACATGCAAACCAGCTAAGCCTTTATTGAGATGGAAAGCTTGGAAATGTATAATTTTAGGAAAATTGAATTGGGTTGAACGAAGAATAATGGAAGCATGAACAGTGGTGACTCTTTGGCATTGCATTTATTTCACTGCCCAAACCATTGTTTGCCTTGAATTCAAGGGCATACCACCCAGTGGAATCGTGTATGGGAGTTAACATGCTAAGAGTAGGGTTGCCACCCATTCATATGACATGTATGGACATGTATGCAATGTCCATACTGCAAACTTGTCTTAATATGGACACTACTTCAGCCATACTTTAAACTTTAGATTTTTTAGTTAATAAAACTTAATAGCAGCTAAAACCACTGTTTTCTTCAAGCCAGAGTAGTGTGTCACACTCTTACAGCATTAATTGGTACTTTGGCTAAAGGTGGCTGTAGGTATTTGCAGCAGAACCACAAATGAAAGTATACTTCATATATTTGTCCATATTTCCATATGTCGTACCTTGGTATCTCTGCCTTTCTCCCTTTTTTTTTATTAAGAAATTATTGCACGTATTTATATTATTGTCTATACCCACGTTTTGTGTATCTCAGACTCTCCGATCAACCAAATGGGAAGTGTCTCATGCTCTTTTCTCTATTCACACCTTGTTCCTCTCCAAGTTTGGCATCACGCCATCATGCACTTTTTCCTCTCTTCCTTTGTAATTTCCTTCTATCTCTTCTCCCATTACCTATCTGCGTAGTTGAGTTGTTAAGCCCTTTCTCGGTTTGCCGATGCACCACGATGCTAGAGAGTACCGTTGGTGTCACAAATAATCAATAACTACTGTATTGTATTGTGGAACCCATAGTTGTTTGACCCTTGGCACTCGGGAGTTAAACGGCGTGGTCTGCCCCAGCAGCTCGACTTTATTTTCCAGCCATTTGAACCGTACTTCATGTGTAACACTCAAAATAATTTTCTCTGTACAAAATGAGAGCTTACTTGATGATCGGAAGATACACAGAACCGGATTTTACATGAGAAAACTGCTTATCGGAGGAGATCCGACAGATGAGCGCTTAGTGTTAAGGGCCCCTTTTTGCCCTCACGGTCCAAGATTTTTTCACTTCGGCAGTGCGACCCGTCTTTTTGGATCCTTTGAAACCTAACGTAGCTTCTAAGATCTTCAAAGATTGGTTGCTATTTGTCAATGGTATGTTTCAATTAACGTCCCCCTACCTGGTCTCCAACGTAGAAGAAATGTCGAGAATGTTTCCTTGGTATGGTGTGAGGAAATTCAGCCGATCAGGATAGAAGTTGCGAGAAAATAAGGCCAGTTTTTTGTACGGCCCTTTCCCTCTCTTTCTGCGATCCCCCACCCACCATGGCTTTTTTTTGTATTTCCAATATAGAGAGGGAACACGACGCAATTCTGACTTCCTCTCCCGATTTTGTTCCTCTTTTTCCGTTCGGGCTCCTTCAGCTTTTTTCTTGTTTGCTCCTCCGATCGATAAAGGGATATGCCCCAATGAATTTGAGCCTCCCGAAAGCCTTCCACTGCCTCATCAGGGCTCTGAAGGACTCGGGAGGTTCCCGCCTCGTCCTTCGACGAAAGTCATTCCTGGTGGGCGTGTGACGGATTTCAGAGGGGTCGCGGTCGGTCGACCGTTGGGTGACCGGATGGGTTACGTCGGTTATGATGAATATGCCGTAAATTGGGACCTTTTGGTTGTACACTGTCATAGATCAAACGATATTTATCGTGTGCATGTGATGAGCCTAACAAATCCCTGGTGCATTCTGTGTATGAATCGCTTCTCATTCTAAGAGTATCGTAATCCAGAGGCAGGGTACTACAGAATTGTCTATTCTGTATCTGGATATCGACTAGTTCCAGAACTTGCGCTTCTGGGGTGCCTATTGACCTTAATCTGTTCAAAAGTTGGTTATACAATTTATTAATGTTTTCAGTGAGGTTGCAAAGTGGTCCCGAGCAAAATGTATGCAGATGTCAGATACACGTGTAGAGTGTTGGTGATTTTCAGTGTTGACCTCAGATGTCGCATCACAGGAATATATAGTGCCCTTCTCCAATATTTACTCAGAGTATTCCTTGACGATTGCATTTATGGCTCGGTGACCGATGCCAGATGAATGCATGAGTTGACAGGGCCTGGGATGAGGCCCTTTGCTGGGAGAAGGAAAAAAAAAAGATATAAGTTGGAGCAGGAGAGGATGGGACATGGAAGACCTTAGGGACACCCCGGCTCCCTCCATCCCAAGATTGAAAGCGGGCCTGCCCCGACCGGCCCCAACCCGCCACCCGTCCCCAAGGGATGCACGAGGGTGTGCTCGCGTCGCTTGCGGGGGAGTTTTGCACGCTCGAGGATAGGAAAGCCGACCGTTTTGTGGATGTATTCTCGCAGGCAGAGGTCGTCGATAGAGAGACCTAGCGTGCGAGTAATATTTGTGCGATCGAGCTGACACGCTTATGGTGTTTTCTATTGTGTTTCGTAACTTGCATATCGCTGGCCCCGAGAGGGAAAATTTTCGTCGAATTGCTTCTTCCATTTTTTCTCTCTGAAACGATTTTGCGACCGAGCTTGCAAAACGTGTCAGTCCAATTTCTTTGGTCGTTTGTCATTAGAGCTAACTGCGTGGTCCCAGTTCTTTCTTTCCGTTTGGATATTGGACGGTGTAGTGGGGCATATTTTCTTTGTAAATGGTCGTCTAAAATCTGCCGACGTCGATTTTTCAGCTCGGATGGGATCAGTAACTTGCAATCATTTCTGTCGTCCAGCGAAGCTGATTATATTCCAAATTCCCAACCTCGTTGTGAACGAAAGATAATTAGCTATCCGTGACGTTATTGGTGTTCTAACTTGTCCCCAGGGTTGATGAAATATTCAATTATGAAAACTTTGTTATGAGCCGATTCCGAGCAGATTAGGGCAGGCCTGATTCACCCAGTCAAGCTATAATAAGATTCGAACCTCTGGATGATTCCATTTCTCTCGCAAATTCATCAGCCAAGTAATATTGAAAATTATTTGTTGGTGATCCAAAAGTTTGTATGTCTGGAGGCATGCTTGGTTCTAGTTTCCAGTCGTCGTCCGCCGGCGCTCCGAGCCATTCGTCCTGCAAGGCCTTTGTCCGATGTGGGGGGGGGGGGGGGGGGGGGGGGGGGGGGGGGGGGGGGGNNNGGGGGGGGGGGGGGGGGGGGGGGGGGGGGGGGGGGATGGGTTGAGAGAGAGAGGAGCAGTTCGGAGGAGGCATCTATTATTTCACAGTTGTAATAGCTCCCAGGGAGGCCGTTATGGCGAACGTTGAGGAAAAGAATGAGATGGGAGGTAATGACCATAGATTTATATAGCGGGTGGGGGGGAAAAACGCCCCGCTGTTGGAATGTTGGAAAATCGGACCAAGTTACTGATTTGCTACTTCCAACAGATATCCATCTACGTTGTTCTTTCTTACGCATTTTTCAAATTATCATCAGAAACTTACCTGTGCTGGTTTAGCTACACGGTCGCTTCAAACTTCGCAAGTAAAATGTTTGAATCCCCTGAGCCCACTGATATTGATGCATGATGGGCCGTCCCCGCGCCTCCTCGAAGGCATTAAATCCCGATATCCATCGAGGAATCGCTCTTTTGATGTTAATGGGAGCACTAGTCCAGAAAACATGCATCAATACCAATCTGTCTGCCTTGCACGGCACCATGATCAAAACTAATGCGATGGACAAGTTGGCGCGGGAGCGATTGGGGATACTTGTTTCCCTCTTTCGGCGAGAGACGAACAACGGGCGGGGATTTCGAGACTCATTTTCTAAGCGCTTCTGTGGCTAAACCAGGCGAAGGAAAATTAGGGGGGGGGGGAATTAAAAAAAAATTCTGGAACATGTATAACTGTAGTGATTACCCATATCCTAAAATAAAAATTCATGCAACGCCACGTCCCTTTCTCCGCACTTAGGGTATAAAAAGTGGGAAAAGGCAGAAGAGTCATGCTGGGTTCCATTCCTCTTTCTGGGTAGCCTTCTAGCAAAATAATTATTACTGACCGGTATTTATTATAGAGTGCTGCTAACAGCTTCTATCCATATACAAGTATTGAATTTTACTGGCTGCTGGCCCCAATGCTTTCTGGTTGTCATTTTCCTCAGATGGAGGCTTTCCTTGCCATAGAGATTTTGAGCCCCTCCCATTATTTCCATAATGCACATGAAATGGCTTTTCCGTAATGAATTTTTACACAAACGAGATAGATCTCATCTCTCGAACTCGTATTCTTTTTCTCTGAGAAGATAAGGCACATGTACACGAAAATTTTTCGGGAAGAGGAATGATTTGGGTTTCTGCCAGAGATGTCAGTGATGATAATGTCATTTACTCATTTATAATCTAATATACCGAGTGAGGCAAAAAAAACGCGTTTCTCCTTGAAATTTATTGGCGTTCCTGATATTTTTTAAAGTTCTTTTTAAAATGACATTTATGTATCCTCTAGACATCCTACTATATTTATTGTCAGTTTTCTCCAACCATTTTATCTCTTGAGTGATATCACGAAAGGAATTCTATTTATTTATTTATTTCTTGTTGGTACGGGCACTATGTGCATATATCTCAGGCCAGAATTGTTGCCATTTGCGAAAAGATGGGGTGGGACAAGTATTTTGCGAGAATTTTCTGGTAGATCTGAGAGGATGAGAGGGAGCGGTAGGCCGAAATTAACCTAAATTGAAGGAAGCTGTGTTTGTATGGAAGGAACTGAAGGAAGCTGTGTTTGTATGGAAGGAGTATTTGTTTCTGAACACGATACTTGGGGGACGTTAAAGCCCAGCTGAAAGTTGCCAGAGACAGGGGCGAATGAGAGATTTATTTATTCGGCGGATTCTTAAGTGCAAGGGGGGGGGGGGGGGGGAAGCCGAGAAAAGAGGTGTCGGTGTTGCGGTGCCAGTGCTAAAATGTAATTGCTACTGTTTGAGTTGCTTTTAGAAAATCGCACGTGTGGGAGAGTCGGTGGGACTTAATTTATGACAATTTTTTTTATGTTTCAGGGATACATAGAAGTAGCTATGGAAGAAACTCTAAGCTGCTGTCTAAGCACCGCAGATATGAAAAAGCGGCCTTTTCATTTTTCCCCATCCGGTATATTAGCACATGCCTCAATTTGAAAATGTTGTTTGCAACTGGGACAAAACTGGTCGGTCTAGAAAATTTGTTGTCGAAAAATTCCTCCTATTTAATTTTCCTGTTATGCATGGATATCCCACTTAATGTTTCAACAAGTTATTTTTTCACAATTTAAAACGTAAAGAGAACACAGATGAATCAAAGTTTGGTATCACATGCAGATATATACGAGGGGGTGTCAAAAAATAAGGATTGCATCTAAACAGTTTATTCGAGATATATGAACATACACTCTCTTTCTATGTAATTACCTCCTTCCTCAACACATTTATTCCAGCGACTGACCAGCTTTCTGATTCCATCAGAGTAAAAAGTTTTTGGTAAGGAGCGTAGCCAATTATGCACCGCATTTTGAACGTCTGTATCATCCCTGAACTTGCGCCCCTGTAGTGTATCTTGAAGTGGCGACCGTTTCTGAATAGTTCGCACCACTTGTACACATTTTTCGATGAAAAACAACTGTCCCCATATTGTGCACACATTCTACGATAAATTTTACTTGGTGAACTCTTTCTGACAGTAAAAATCAAGACACTTCGCTGTTCAACAGCGGTGCAATCTGAAAGCGTGGCCACCATGCTAAAAACGGTCAGCGACAATGTTGCCAACTGTATATTGCTTAAACTACGAGTACTACATGTTCAGACATGCAGTAATGAGCACATAATGTCCGTGAAAATTTAAAATTGATCTTAGTTATTGACTCCCCCTCGTAACTTTTTAAATATTCAGAATTTATGTAATATTCATTCCGCTAGTCCTTTGCTTTGAGGCTGTGATGATTTTTTGTCCATTTTCATTTTCCCGGTTTTCATGAGCATCCTCTGATTGAAATTGATTGTTTTTGTTAGGTCAGTTGCATAATTTAGGGTTTGTTGATGTGTGGTCTGGGGCCACTCTCATTGGAATATGACATATTTGTTACCTCATGTAACATTTAAATTTCCCTCAGACTTTTTATTTTCAAACAGCAACAAATGTTATTTTTCAGGGTGTCCCAAAAATACGTTGCCAAATTAAATACAATTTTTCACGAAAAAAATTTCGCCAAATTTTCGCAAATATACCATTTTTTAGCATTTTTTTTCTCCTCATTCAGATAGACTTTTAAAAATTTTCATTATCTTTATCCTTCATCATTTTGGAGATTAAATCAAACCGTGATGTGATTGTGCGTTTGTTCCAAGAAGGAATAAAACAATCTGATATTGCTCGCTCGCTGAATTTGTCAAGGCAACTCGTTTCCAAAGCCATCAAACGTTATAAGGAGTCGGGAAGCAATAATGACCGCCCAGGAAGAGGCCGAAAGAGGTCTGCAAACACCGCCGCCAATCGAAGAAAGATCAAGGGCAGAATTCAAAGGAATCCAAGACTCTCAGCTAGGAAAATTGCTAAGGCCGTCGGAATATCCAAGTCATCAACCCATCGCGTGCTCAAAAATGGTCTCCAGCTGAAGGCCTATAAGTTTCAAGAAGCCCACCTTCTCGATGATGACAAGAAGGCCTCTTCCTGGGCGGTCATTGTTGCTTCCCATATCCTTATAACGTTTGATGGTTTTGGAAACGAGTTGCCTTGACGAATTCAGCGAGCGAGCAATATCAAATTGTTTTCTTCCTTCTTGGAACAAACGCACAATCACATCACTGTTTGATTTCATCTCTAAAATGACAAAGGATAAAGCTATTGAAATTTTTTAAAATCTATCTGAAAGAGGAGAAAAAATGCTACAAAATGGTACATTTGCGAAAATTTGGCGAAATTTTTTTCGTGAAAAGATTTTGTATTTAATTTGCCAACATGTTTTTGGGACACCCTGTAGTGAGGATGATCATCCTTACTTTTTCTCCTAAGAATGGCAGCTTTGGGTTTTGTCAAATTGGAATCGGAAGGGAAAAAGGGAATTAAACTCCTATCAAAACTGTGGTACAACAGAAACACATAATAAATTGTCTCAAAATAAATGACAAAATTTTTGGCTACAACAGGTATCAGGTAACAGGTGGAGTCTATACTGTTCTGATGAAGTGGGCTTTTTGAACATAATCATTTCTAAAGGAAGATTGTCTTTTGTTTTTAACCACTTAATTTAGTCCTAGGTAATGCATAGGAATTCCTTTTGACAAATGTGACTCATCAGCTTTCTGACTTTTGAATATGGCAGGTCTGTTTCCAGTGCCGGGAGTTTGGGCATTACGTTTCACAATGTCCCCAGTTGGAGAACTCCATGGACACAGGAACAGGGATCTGTTTTCGCTGTGGAAGCACTGAGCACTCATCAAAGAGCTGCAGGGCCAGACTCCCTCCTGGATCAGGTTCATATCCCCCTTCCCCTCGCTCTTGAAATGTGTCCGAACTTGACCCATCCTATTTTTATTCAGCAGTGCCCTGTATCATGTTTTGTAGGGAAGTATCCATATGCCAAATGCTTTGTCTGCAAGGAGCAGGGCCACATCTCAAGTGAATGTCCCGATAATCCCCGTGGTCTATATCCAATGGGTGGGTCCTGTCGTCTGTGTGGTTCTGTCACCCATCTCAGGAGAGACTGCCCTCGGTTACAGGTCAAGTTCTGTTCAACTTTCTTTTGGAGTTAAGTCAGCCTATAGCTGAACATAATAAATTATGCTTTTTGATGGTATGATTATGATTTCTTGCAGGCCTCCAAGCACAAGCAACGGCCAACATCTGGTTCACACTTCAGCCGAAAGATAGACCATATCACAAAACCCAAAATTGTGAAGTTTTGAGAATGAAGATTAGTTCATAACCATAAGAACAAGCTGCCTTCTGATTTTTTATGAATTGCATACAAGGTGGAAAAAATTACTTTGTAACTTTTGACTGGTTTTCATGAACAATAAGGAAGACATTTGTTTTGTTCAATTGGGAAAAGGTGGAACCACCAAGCTGAATGGAATATAGATTTAATTTTTATGAGAAACTAGTTGTGTTCAGTTGTCTCAAGGAGCAAATGTTTACATAATTATACTTGAGACATGGGTTGGGGGTAATTACTCACCCATTGACTGAAAGGCTATTTTCTTATGGTTTTTCTTTATTTCCTTGAAAGTAACATAAATGGCGATAAAGGGACCTTGGATGTGTTCTTTTGTGAATATGAAAAGAAAATGCAATCAATGGGCAGGGGTAAAAGTTGATAGGGGAAATGCTGGGGGGGTTTGTGTGCACTTCATCTCCATTTTCAATATGGCACAAGTCAATATCAGTAGTAAGAGACTACTCTTTCTCAGAAAAATAGACTCAACCCTTGAGATTCAACTCGTTAGGAAAGCAAAAGAAATTACACATGCATGCACACACACACACACCAAGGGAAATGGAAGGAGGGAGAGAGAGAAGATAGCAGCACGCAAGTTCAAGTTTAAGGGCAGCAAGCAGCACCAAAAAGGAAGGATATACTTTGATTTTTCCCTCCCTCTCACACAAAGGGAAAAAAATTTAAATAATTGGATGACATGAAAAGGATTGCATCATCAAAGTTTGACTTCATTTCATTTGACACTGCAAATGAAATTGGTCCTATTGGGATTCTCATTATGAACATGAATAACCAAATGTGAAACCAATCTGGTACATAACCCACTCTTATGCTATTTTAAGCCTTTCTTTCAATTGTGAGGATGACGATGTGGTGGGGTGTTGCAGAGGCATTAAAGGGTAAGTTTTCCTGTCTGGTAGCATGGATCTTTGTGCAAAGACATCACAGGTTAGGGAGTGGGACCTAGAGTCAGGCAACATCATGATTGATTTCTATTTAGATCAGTCCATTGCACCACCTACACCAGATAAATTCATCTTCCCAGCAATACTGTTCTAAAATTCTGCCAAAAAACATTGAAGATGCTGCCATATGCTTTAACAAGGAGCAGAAAATTCAGTCTTTTAGGTCTGGTGAGATCTGATCAGTGTCTGGAAATGTGAGATGCAGGACTGGGTCTTTTCAGTACCAGCAGGGAAATAAATGCACAACCAGAAACAAATCCAAGGGAAAAAAGAAAAAGAAATGCAGTGGCAGGTACATGAAAGAGGAAGGGTGTTCATAAGAGAGACAGTGTTTTGGTTTCAGCAGTTGACTGGAGTTCTAAGAAGAAGCGTGCTCTCTGCCGAGATGATGGGGAGACTGTTATCTCTGTGGTAATTTATCAGGTGACTCACACTCTCAAACGTTCGGTCCTTCGTCCGCACCTAAGGGATGAACAGGAAATGCTTCACTCAGATTGGCTTTTCTGTTAATACTTCAGCAGCCTTATTCAAAGAGGTGACTGCAAAAGGTCTACTCTATGCATAAAAACTTGGACCTCCTAATGCTAGGAAAATACTGAGTAAGCCTCCTGTACTCTGAAGCTGCTGTATTTCAAATGTTGTAAGAACCAGTGGGGAAAATCTCAATTCTGGGATATAAGCCTAAGATGATCTAATCAAAACTCTCAGCTTGGAATCTTTGGATCAGTGGTGTGAATTTGGGACATTGCAGAAGCTCCCATGTATTAAATCAGAATTTATGAAGGTAGACTTTATGTCAAGGAAAACATGAAAAGTCCATGAATTCTTACCACTCCTTCAGGGTCCACAAGGAGAAGATGCTTCCTTTGTCCTCCCTGCATCCCCGTTAACACGTATTGACCCCCACTCCCCTGTGACTCTCTAACCAGGAACTCCCCATCCTAAAAGCATCACAGGCAAAATTATGGCCTTGAATAAATGCAAATGTACTCACTGACTGCCACCAGAAGCAGCAGTTGACTGACATGTTTAAGGAGGGCTTCGGCTTCTTTTCGACTGATGGCACCATGAAACCAGGGCTCTTTCTCTAACTGGGCTTTTAAACTCCCTCCACCATCAACCAATGAAGTCGAGGGGATGGCGGCAGTAAATGGCTCTGTAAATAGATGCCATGTTTTTTAAATTTTCCTGTGGTTGCATATATGACAAGACGATGCAGAAGGAGAAAGAACGTACGCATGTCAAATGGGTCCTTCTGGATGGAAGTCTGGGTGGATGTGAGAGGCATTGGGGGTGGGGCAGGAGGGACTCCTCCCATTGCTCCTCTTGAACTTCCCTTTTGAAAGACCACAGAGTCGTTGACGTATTCATGCACATCCGTGCGAGTGGCGGGTGTCGTAGGAGTTGCCGGGTGCGAATTCAGGTCTATCAGATCCGAGCTTGCATCTGCAGGGGATGCACATACTTCTCTTGAAATGAGAATTCAGAATGGGATATAAGGTTAGAGATGTGAACCTCACCCCGATGAGCAGAAGAGGATGGGGAATCAGAAGGGTGTTTCTTGAGAGTTGGTGCCATGGTGAGGGGAGGTGGGAGGGAGGACGTGGTTGGTCCCAGATCTGGAGGGATCTTCCCTGGCAGATCATTATAATACTCCTGGTCTGTCTCAGGATCTCCTCGTCCCAATGCAGGGCCCCGAGCTCCTCTGTTACACCCAAGGGGGATTGAAAAAATTTTTCAAATTCCACTCCAAGATAATCATAAAATCCAGTTCAGGTTCATACTCAATTTTTATAACAGTGATACTTCTATAATAATAATAAAAAGTTGTTCATATCCAGAAGTGGTGGTAAGTAGATAACCCAAAATCTCATTCAAAGATGGCAAGTAACCTCAGTGTGCATGATGTGTGTGCCTAGTTGATAGCTCTGCAGCCAATACTGCTATATCTATGCTGTCTGCTGGCAATCCTCAAATATCCAATACTCCATCTACCTCATGCTTTTCTAGTGCTTTAGCTGTTGGTTATTGGAACCAAGTTTCTGTGAAACTTCATTCTGCATTAATATAAAACTCTTACAGATCTAAATGAACACTGAGAAGTCTTAATGTGCAATTAAAAATTCAAAGGTGTTTTGGTGACCATCGCTGATGGATGGGACCCTGGTGTGGTGCAGATGTGAGCAAATCCATAGGGCCCGGAAAACCAAACTCTCTGGACAACAAGAGGCAGTTGAAAATGCATGCATCACAGTTGGGGGAGTCAAAAAATTATTTTATATAACCACAATCACTAGTCCCCTGCCATAATGAAGCATCAGTGTCAGTGTTGCCCAGAGAGTCCTCCCACCAAACTTCTTCTAAGCCATGTCTAACATCAAACTAAACTTCTTCATACTGCACCCACAACTTTAATTTTTGGTACAATGGGTTCTCACATCATGCCCACTGGGTTGATTCACAAGGTTTGTGGTACTCAACAATTCATAAGATCTGCCCCAATCCTTTTTACTGAGGCCTTCTTTGTCTTCTTATTCCATTTGAATCCATCTCATTCATTTTTCTCTTACTCTTCTGCTGGAGAATGAAGGCAATCATGTATACTTCAACAGGCAAGTAGATGCCTCTACATGATGCCTCTTACATGCACTGTCTGCATATTCACCTGAATCCCGTATACTTTCACAAACTCATTTCACCTCCCCCCCTCCTCTACACCTTCATTTCCCCAGAAGCTTTTTTTCTTTGCTGTAGCTTTTGCCGTTCCATAATAAGTGACTGTCAAGTCAGTGGGAACAAGTAGCATTAAGCATACAGCATCTTGGAAGTAGGATCTCATCTCCTGTCTGTCTGGTTCTCTTAGTTTCCCAGTTTTTTTTTTATCCTTCACTCAAAACGAGTAAGGAGTATTGGCTATCTATGCAAACACACAACAGTGACAAGGATAGATATTTTTCATAGCCGCCCCAAACTGCCATGAGAGATAAATAACGAATTTCACCAATAGGCTTGCAAAGGACATACAAAGAGGTGGTGGAGGTGCTCTCAGAACAATGCCTAAGGGATGTGGCACCATTGGTTCGAGGAGCTTTCTTGAGGTATTCCTTGAACCTGAGCTCAAATGCCTGGCCGATGGTGGTGATGACGTCTTGAGCAAGCCCCCCGCCGCATTCCAAAACGTAGCATGCCCTCCCTTGCGCCCCGTCTTTGGCCACGAACGCCACAAAGTCCAACGTGTCCTGATGAAGACAACACGACACTCCAGCACGAAACGAACAAGCAATGGAAGGATCTTCGTAACGGCCGACTCGTACCGCGTCTCCTCCGGATGCAAAGGAGATGTTGGGCATGTCATGACTAGAGATGAGTTGGCCCGTGTCGAGCGAACACAGCCGAAGGCATGCACTCGTGACCCTCAACGTCACGTTCGAGCCCGCATGATCCATGCACGGCTTCTCGTCCAGTACGCTCCCTATCCTCTTGTCCACCTGGATTCCAAATTCAGAAGTCTCGATTAAAACATGAAAATCGCATACGCACATCGACGATCGACCGCTCGCTCTTTACCTTTCGCTTTTTGTCAACCGTCTTCAAGCCTGCCGCTTCACACACCCTGTTGATGCATTCCCTAGACGAACAGAAGCAAAAATAGGTATTGATTTCGTGTCAAAAAAGTTTGCCATCAAACAAAACAATGAAAGCAATATCCCTCAATTTTAGCAACACTTCAATGTACACCTCGCTCAAGACCTCACGAAACACTGAACGCATGATACCAGAAATATAACGTAAGCGATTATCACAATTTAAGACGAAATTTGAAACCTAATCGAATCGCCAACGGTCGCTCGCAAAGCGAATATCATGTCAAACATTGCTCGGAGGGATTCGAATCCTTTTCGCGTATGACCTGACCAATATTTAACGAATTGAACTGTCATGCATCTCTCATCAATCAGGAGCATGCATCTCTCATCAATCAGGAGGCTGGCATACAGAGATTTGAATTTCCTTAAAATGGATAAGGCTCCCAAGAAATTAGGCCATTTTGACTAGTATTTCTCATTTCACCAAAGTGTGAATTCGTAATGCCCATGCTTTGCTCATTAGCCCTCTAATGCATGATGGTGCCAATTGGCATCAAAACAACATGTGAGAACATGAATGAAGAACAAATGTTTCGCGTGCGTATTTTGCCCAACGATGCCGAACGGCATCAAACCTGTACCTCATAGACCATTATTTCCCCATTTAAAAAAATATTCATAATTAAATCTTTAAAAAATTGTCAAACCAAATGATAATCGACACCACAATTCCCCGCCACCTTTTCATCATTCACGCAAACGAAAGTTAAAACAAACGATCTCAGAGCTCCGAAGCACGAAGAGCATCGGCAGCGGATACGCAGATAGCTGGGGAGGTAAAAGAGATTCTGACGACAGCTGGGAAGGCAGGCAGGCAGGAAGGAAGGAAAAGGAAAGGAGAGGGAGTTGACCAGAGAGAGACACATTGGCAAGATGCCCAGAAACGCAGGGTCCGCCCACGCTTCCGCTCCTCCCCTCCCCACTCTTCCTCTTCACTCTTCCCCTGTCGTCCTCTTGCTATTTCGGATGAGACGAGAGTGGGGGGGGGGGGGGGGGGAACCGGCGATTCCGGTACCCCCCCCCCCCCCTCGCACTCTCTTTCCCCCCTAATTTATCCTGTGGATCGCCCGCCCACGCCTCGTTGTATAAAAGATGGCATGAAGTATTTAGGCCGGATGCGAAAGTAAATGCAGTATTCCAGGAAATCATATCGTATGAATGGAACGACACCGGAAGGAGTTTTTAATAATTTCCGAGGAAATGGATGCATACTTACACGGCCACTTGAGATCGGGTGTCGTAGTCGAGGGTCTTCATGGATGCATTCACGCCCAGGCAACCGATGTACTGGAACATGATAACAGCAAAAGTAAGGTCAGTCGTGCGTAAAGAGGAGTGCCAATGAACCTGCTTTCACTGCGAATTTAAAAAGGGGAGGATCCCACAGGAACCCACACGGGATCCGAACTTCGAGAGCCGGTCCAGTGAGTATTAATGCACGTGTCCATGACAACACGGCAACAGGCTTCGCATGTGAGGAGCGGTCTCTGGCGTGTCGATCGAGCTTATCTTCCTGACGATTTTGGAAATTTCTCGAGTCGGACACATTTGTCATTCGGAACAAAAGGAAATGCGTGAATCTCCTTGGCAACAGTTCCTCCAAAATAATCAACGACTGGCACACGATTACTCAAATCATTTCAAGTCCCAAGACGGAGATTAACAATAGAATGGTTTCAACCCCTTCCACAAAGAAATACTGAGATCTTCTTTAATAAATAAATATTAAAAAAACAAACGGCCTGCAGAGTTACCGTGACCCACAAACCCCGCCAAAAACGGGGAAGAGGGAAATAGTACACGGAAATCCTTGAATTCTGCGCTCTCCCCATTCATGTCCCCCAACGGGTCCCCCTCCCCCCGGTCGTAAACAGGAAGAGACGAGTGAGATTTTCATTTCCTTTCAGGGATTTCCGTGAATGAGACGGGGACGGAACGCAGGCGCCCCTTTCCCAGGGATCGATGTATGGGGAAGGGAGGACGTTCCCCCTCCTTCCCTCCTTTTTCCCTTTCCCCCCCTCCCTCCCACGCAATATACATGTGATCCGCGAGGAGAAATCCTCCCTTTTCTCCTTCCTCGTTCGCGTCATCTCTCTCTCCTCGCGAGAGTGCGGTATTATCTCGATCCAACGTTCCTCTGATTGAAAAAAATCAAAGATTCTCTTCCTTTGCCTTCCCCCCGGTTCTGTCGCCCGATTGGCTGGATCGGATCTGTCGATTTCCGAGATGAATTCCAAGGGTAGAAAGCCCCGGGAAAACATTTTTTTGCTCGTCACTCGACGAGAACGCGAAATAAAAAACCCGAATTTTCACTCTTGCCGCCTCGTTGTCAGGTGAATCCGTGACAAAGCACACGTTTCACCCTCCTTCCCCCCTCCTAATGAATTTCCCGCCTCCTAAGAGAGATCGGGAGCGAAGCACTCTAAAATTTCAATATAGCTTTTTGTAATTCCCGACTATAACTGGACCCGATCTCAGGTCGACGAGATCCTCGGGGACCCACCGGAAACATCGACCTCGCGGGTCGATTCAGAAAATTTCATTCGTCATTCCTGACCGAGCCAGGAATGCCAAATCATGAATGCCAGGCAAACAGCTGCCGACATCGCTCCCGGTCCCGCTCGATCATTAAAAGGAGATGAAATTCATCTCGCGATATCGTCAAACATCGGCCTCGGCTGGAGCTGCTCTATCAAGAACTCAAATGTATCAAATGTGACAGATGAAGTGAAATCAATCATTTCCTCCTACTCTTCTTGGGAAAAAAATGTCTACCGAAAAGATTTGGGGGGGGGGGGGGGGGGGGGAAAGAAAACCCGCCCCTTTCCCCCAGGGGGGGGGGGGGGGGGGGGGGGGGAGGAAGTAAATCCGCGCATTTTCCATCGAAACAACACCGAAATAAAACTCGTGGAGTCGCCCAATGGGAATCTCGAAGAGTAAAAAGGACAGAACGCATCTTTCACAGGACTTATTATTGACCTTCGCTTCGCATTCGGAGTCAACATCACGTTTTTCCTTAAAACGCGGTACGACGGGGTGAATAGAGAAATTATCTGCTCGGTCCTCTTCAAACTCGTCAAGCTTTTGTGTCGAACAAATACAGGATTAAATGCAGATCGCCCTGAATGACTCAGAAAAAAACCACACCATTTTCCATCCGATTTCCATGCGTAAGAATGCGACTTTCCTGGCTGCGCTCTCTCTGCAAAAATGCGCAGAAATAGACAAATGTTAATCGTTTCCGGCAGGAAATGATTAGCGTTTGTCATGCCCAACCCCCCACCCCCATGCGATATATCGCAAGCGCCGTCCCTGCCAGCCCGCAAATACCTTCCAACATTGCCAAATCTCTCCGATTTGTGGACTTCGCAGGAGGCGATGAGGAAACTCGGAAACCGCGTAGAAAGTCCACATTTCCCGACGCAAAAAAAAACGAGCTACCGACGATGGAAAACGTCCGTGGCGTCCAGACTCTCATAAACGTCCGTGGCGTCCAGACTCTCATAAACGTCCGGTCAGATCAATCAGAGCAATCAACTGGAAAGAAGATAGCACTATAATGAAAACGAGAACGTAAAATGAGGCGCAGAAACGCCTCAGCCGACGATGCCCACCAAGGTGCAGGATTTAATGCCACCATGGAATCGCAGAGCCCTAACCACTCAACCACAACCACAACCACAACCACAACCACAACCACAACCACACCCAACCTCACCTCCACCTCCGCGTTCAACTTCTCACACTCTCAGTTCAAGTTCACATTTCATTAGTGAATGCAGGGGATATTTTGACGATTTTCGACCCGACAAACGACGACAGCTTTGTCTTTTACGTTAAAAAAAAATCTCTAAAATCCACACGACGGTTGAGTTCGAACGCATTTCATATTAATTTCCCATGATTTATACCGGGCAATGCAAGACTATTGGTTGGTTTCAAAACGGCACTTCAGTTGCGGTTCGGTAGTTTCAGTTCAGACTTTCGCCTGAATCTCCACTGGGTTCTCGTCGGCTTCTATCGCAAAGAAATCCTAACTGGAACTGATACTGAATTAAAACTCGAACTGAATTGCAAATAAACAGCGACTGGACTATTTTTTTTTTAAATCAGCCAATGTGTGCAAGAGCGGAACTTATTTTTTCTTAAAAAATTTAGTAGTTTTTGTAGGTTGCGCCATACACAAAGTCAGATACTCCGCGTATTTTCACGAAGACGTGTGATAGTAATTAGGCAAAGTATTTTGAAGAGATTCTTCGGGAATAAAGAGATGAAAAAGTTAAACATATGGCCATCCGGGTTCTGGTAGTTCCAGGGCAAAGCAAGGCCACCGGCATGGAACGATGACGTACGTAGGGGCTGCAACGAATGGGAAAATTCGATATGCGATATGCGGTATATTTGTCCCGTGACAAATATACCAAATTTGCGACCAAGTTGGAATGTATGAGGGAAAGTCGCGAATTTTCGGCTATTTTAAAATAAATCAGGATGGAGCGAATACGACGAACTTCGCATGGTGTGCCAAATTCGCGATCCGACTGAAGAAAACAGACCGTTCTGTCAAAATCACCCCGTCCGACTAACTCCCCCCCTCCCTCCTTATAGGAAACGAACCAGCTGTTGAAATACCTTTTCTCTGTTATCAGCGGCCGAATGTCGTCTGCCCTGAACTCCAACTAAAACATTGGAATTTCCTGTTTCTACAGCATAATCCTATCAAATCGCTGGAAAAGTTGGAAACCATGGAAACATGCGAGCGTCTAACCTGCCCGACCGAGTTTGCCTCAGTGAATGAAGACGCGTTAATAGCCAGACAGCATGCATAAGTTTCCATGGCGACAGATCGGCAATCGCTATGGATGCCCCTGCACATTTATTCTTCGGCTGTGCCCTTTTCGCTATAAATAGAACTCCTTCAAAAATTCATGCCCTTCATTTGCACCGAGGATAAGACGAAGAGATGAAAAAGAGAGAATATAAGAAAGGGTTCCGACAATGTTAGAGGTTGCAATGAAAATCCTCTGTCGCCATTCGTTTCCTCAAAATTTCATCTGAGTCCAACGTTTGCAAAATCTATTGGTTTTCGTTAAGTCGAGCTCGAGTGTTGGCGTAATGGTTGAAATGAGGAACGATTTAAGGCAAAAAGTCGAGAGTTTATATTTTGTTTTTTTTTTTTAAATAAAAATTTAAAAATTTTCAGGGATGATCGGAGAAAACTTTAAAACTTTCCTTAAAACCTTTTAATCATGTTTCCCCATTTCCCCAGTTTTTTTTTTTCCTTTGGCTGTCTCGCCATTCCGTCTTGGGTTACGGTTCCAATTAACTGCCGAGCCTCGGTGAAAGACTCGTCTCCGAGGGACCGCATCCATCACGGGGCATGGGACGAGGGATTCCGCGGAATACGGGCGAAGTGCGGGACTGATCGCCGTAAATGCCACGGGAGCAGGGAGGGGGAAAGGATCATCACGAGGACCAAAGATCTCAATAATTGCAAGCTTTGCGTCCGTCTCGAAGGTCACGAGCCTCACGATGCTCGAAATGCCAGCCGGGCGACCTCGAGTATAAATAACGAATGAAGTCCAGACGAATTTAAGGGTGGATTTTTGAACAGAGCACTATCCGATAATGCTGCTTTATTTCAG